TGGGCTGTGGCGACATTAATCTTTGTCGCAAGGTAACCGCGCTGCATCTTTCATCGACTTGTGCTTATTGGCGCTTGTAGGATTCTCCATGCCATAAAAACGGACAGTTTTCCGTTTATAAGCGCAATAAGAGGCGGGTCGATGAAGCGATGCGGCCGTGGTCATGTCAGAATTCAGATCCATTCTTCCAGCGCATTCTCTGCGCACCTTTGAGACTTCTGAAAATTTTAAAATAACCTAAAGAAAAAGAGCAACCAAGGAGTTGAAAGTCGCGTCACAATTATCCATTTTAGGACTCTGTACTGTTTCATGACACGATTTACTACAATCTCGCATACGGAAACCCTCACGCAAGTCGTGAAGAGGTTATGGAGGCTTCCAGACTGGCTGACCTACACGAATCGGTAGAAAGAATGCCAGAAGTGAGAATTTATCCGCTCGTAAATGCTTCAAAATCTATTTTTAATTTTATAGGGGTATGATACTCTTGTTGGTGAACGTGGATTGAAATTATCCGGAGGAGAGAAGCAACGCGTGGCTATCGCTCGTGCCATACTCAAGGTTTAACTTTGATTTCCTTCCAGTGAGGTTGGAGTATTCGATAGACACCTTTAGAATGCGCCGCTTATTGTTTACGATGAAGCGACGTCTTCACTAGATGCCATAACTGAAGCAAACATAATGAGAGCACTGAAGGAAGCAGTGCAGCGAAGGTTAATCAACTTAGCGCAGCACATCTTAGACACCTGGTGTATACTGAATATTCCAGAACATCTCTTTTCATCGCTCATCGCCTGGCTACCATTGTTGACGCAGACGTTATATACGTCTTGGATAAAGGTCGTGTAGCAGAGTTTGGTCCTCATGCCCAATTAATCCTCAAAGGAGGACTTTATGCTCAACTCTGGAATAGTCAAAACCGGCTTGGGGTTGTACCGGTAAATTTTAAATGTCTTGTATTCAGAGCATTTTCTTATTAACTGTCTTTTTTTGTAGCCGAAAGAAGTGAAGAAATACGGTCAGAATCAAACAATGTTAGAATTGGACCTTGACAAGTGTTGCGGCAACTCGAGCTGCAATCGCTAAGAGCTGCTGCTTTGGAAAGCGAGAAATAATGTGCTGTTTGTTACTGTTAAACTTGATATATTTTGTTAGGGGTTGCGCTAGATTGTTTCATAGTTTTATTCTTGTTGTCTTAAGTTCATGCCTAGTGTTGCTGTGATGGCATACCATGCCAAGATTTGTAGATTTTTTGTCCTTTGTTATTGAAAGTTGTCTTCTCAGACATGTTCATGCTTATCACAGTGAATGTACACCGAGTGACAGGAAATTTATGTGATTGTCAGACTTCTAGATTTATAAACTATGAAAAGTGATCTTTCATCGTTCATTGATCTGTTTCTGAGCGGTACATACTTCTTGTTTTTGTGAATTATCATACTTGAATTTACAGCGTTTCAGAATCAGGGGTGATGTCTGGCTGTTTGGATCAAATCAGCTGTAATTGCAGTTTTGATTTGGAGGGGAAGAGGAATGCCATCGCCTCAGTCACCGCTGCTGCCCTTTTCTCGATGGGATGGTGGCTTATGATTGA